CGCTTACAGTGGACATATGTGACATGTTTCGTAGCAAAGATGTGTTGGATTTGACGATATACGACAGAGTGGTGTAATAGGCATGCGCCAGAACCCTTCGCAGAATGGAGAAAACGTACACCATGGACCTCTTCTGCACCATATGCCCTCCGTGACATCCGCCAACGGCTTTCAGTGAGCCCTCCAGGTATCTCCATGTTATGTTCAAGGAAATATGTGCGATGGATGCAGAAGACGGCAGGAAATAGACTGAAAGCAGGTGAATCGCCCGTTGGACGAGTTGCTAACTTGAAACCAGTACCGTGCCCTGCACGTCGTAATCCTGAGCCAGATTACGCAAGAATGAAGTGGTTACATTGAGCTGTCGAGGAGATATCGTCGTCCAAAGTTCCTTTGGGGTCGCTTAGAAGAGGCAAATGCGTGAGATGCGGCGTGGCGCTCTCACGACAAGCGAGCTGAAACTGGCTGTAGAAAGTATCTCAATTGTGAACAGCCGCTTCCATGGTATCGCGCGTGGCAGCTTGAAGCTTTAGTATACGACAGACTACAGGAGGGATATTACATTCGGTGGTATGCGGCGAGGTCACAAGAAAGGGAAGGGCTAAACGTGCGTGCGTATGTGAAGACTCTGTACTCATGGCAGACGTGACAATCCTGGGCAATGCAGCAAGAATGGTGAAGAGAGCGGGACGGGCGGTGTGCCAAAACAGTAGGCTATCAGAAGAGATCTTCGAGGGTCATTTGTTTGACAATGTCCTGCGCAGAACACAGTAATTATTAGCTACGGCCCTACTGGGGCGAAGAGACGAGAGAGAAAGAGAGCTGGCATACCGTATTAGAGACCATCTGAACGAATTCCTCGAAAGAAAGCTTGCCGTCTCCATCCTTGTCCGCCTCCATAATCGTCTTATCCACTATCTGTTGCAATTGCCCGTCTTTGAGGTTGTTGCCGACCATCATCTTCAACACCAAAAACAGTTCGCCATTGGAGATGTAACCATCCCGATCCATATCGTACACCTTGAAGGCAACTGGGAGAAATCAACAGGTCACGTTCTGTGTCTAGACACAGGTTGGTCTATAGATGGGTGATACGCACATCGCAGTTTCTCTTCTCGCCCTCCTCGACTACTGAATGCGCTCAAGCCTCCGACAAACTCCTGGAAGTCCACAGTTCCACCACCACTATAGATGCAGAGGGAAAGAAAAGGATATGAGCACAAGTGCAAGACCCATAGCAGTCAATCAAGACGCACTCCTCGTCGAAGATGGCTATTAGTCGGGACGCGAGTGGATTGTTCGCGATCTGGGGTATTTGCAGGAACTCTTCACGATCAATGGACCCTGATCCATCACTACAAAAGAATACGATCATACTTAGCACTTTTCCGCGTCTGCTTGGCTTCCCTTTGCACGTACCTGTCGAGCTTCATGAAACGCTTCTTCAGTCGCTCTAGCTCGCTTGCGTTGACTGAGGAAAGCAAACATCCTCCTCTTTAGCGGACATTAAACAAATGTGTTGCAGATATGCATACAGTTGGACCTCTTCTGCATGTCCTCCATGAACTGGGATGCTGCATGGCGAATGAGAGATAGGGCCAATCAATCCGGCGTTCGCAAAACGGATGGAAAGGAATTGGCGAACGTGACTGCCCCATCTTGGATCAATCGCACAAGGTCGAGTATGTTCGGATAGTTTCAGATCGCTGAAGGAAAGATTGCAGAAGTGAGAAGGACGGAGGAGAAGGACAAGGAGGGGAGAGGGTGATAACGCGTCTGGACGAGCAGACTTGCGTTTACAGCTGAGCTTGAGCACAAAGACGCCGTGAGAATATCAAATCTGGACTGGGCGTCGAGCGCTGACTCGTCATTGCGCGCGACGGCGAGGACAGCCCCGTGCAGAAGCATGCATGGTAGGACTTTCCTTCGGACGCGCACCGTCTGCTCCCTCGAGGCACTCATACACTTCGCGGAAAAACCATCATATCGGCTTCCCAGATGCACCATCACCACGAATGGTAACAGGTACCGCATTGCAGGTCCTAGGTCTCACCACTTCGCCCTGAGATGCGGCCTGTTGAGGCTGTACAGCACGTCTTCCTCGACTTCGAACGCGTCTGCTGGGTATTCTTGGGTACCTGCTAATAGCCGCAGCGACCGGGACCCTCCAGAGCTTGTCTTGTCTGACGCGCAGAGGCGAACAATCTACGCGCTATCGACCCCTCCTGGCAAGGCAGGCGTCGCGGTTATCCGCATATCTGGTCCGGACGCGTTGAAGGTCTGGTCAGGTATGGTGCGGACACGTGCTGCAGGGAAAGGGAAAGCTCGGGAACGCGAGCCGGAACCGTGGAGGATGCACCGCTGCAGCGTCGTGCACCCGGGGTCTAGCGAGGTGTTGGACGATGGCCTTGCCGTGTTCTTCCAGGGTGCGTACTTTTCTTTACTGTCGCAAGTATCTACTCACATGTCTGATGCACACGCCGCAACAGGGCCTAAATCGTTCACTACGGAAGATGTGCTTGAGTTGCATGTACACTCTGGACGCGCCATTATATCCTCGGTGCTCAATGCCATCTCGTTCTTCCCATTTTGTCGTCCTGCCGAGCGCGGAGAATTCACACGACGTGCCTTCGAGGGCGGTCGCCTTGACCTCACACAAGTAGAAGGTTTGAGAGACCTCATCGACGCCGAGACTGAGAGTCAGCGTAAGCTTGCATTGAAAACAGCTGGGGTGAGTCCTCGGTGCGGCATGCAATCTACGGCGGTCTGATGGTTAGCCAGGGCGCCACGAGGGCACGCCTTGAGGAACTTCGTAACGAGATCATACAATGTCTAGCACTTGTGGAAGCCCTGATTGATTTCGGAGAAGGAGAGGACATTGAGGAGGGAGTGTTCGATCAAGGTCCAGTACCAGTGTCTCGTGGTCATGTATGAACCCGGATGCTGACGTCTGTTCAGCTAGAATACGGGTTCTCAAACTGCGAGACACCATACAGCATCACCTCTCGGACAATCGCAGAGGCGAGATCATGCGGTCCGGTATCCGCTTAGCCATCTTTGGGCCCCCGAATGCTGGCAAGAGCAGTCTTCTGAACTTTTTAGGTATGCGATTGCATTGGGAATTAATCCATTTGTCTGACTCATCACTTTCCAGCACAACGCGAAGCGGCTATAGTGACACCCATACCGGGGACCACACGAGATATCCTCGAGCTCTCCCTCGACATCAGTGGCTTGCCAGTGATAATTGCTGACACAGCTGGTTTGCGCAAGACCGATGATATCGTAGAGCAGATTGGGGTTGAACGTGCAAAGCAGCTGTTAGTACTTCCCAATCACACGTCTATAGCTTGGCTAACGCGTGCATGGTGCTCAGTGTCCAATCTGCAGACGTCTCCCTCTGCGTGCTCTCAGCGCCGGAAGTGGTCGTCAGCTCTGCGGCGTCCGGCACCCCTCTTAACATTCCCCCCACTGTTGTGCCACTCATGAAAGACGACACGATTGTTCTATTGAACAAGGTCGACCTTCTCCCCTCCTCCCTATCACTACCGAGCGCACCTGCCCAAGCGACTTGGGGTGTCAGCCTAAGCACCGGCCAAGGTACACAGACGTTTCTGGAACAGTTCGGAGAGGTTTTGCGACATAGGCGATTATCAACATACTTGGTAGCCTATGAGATACTCATAACATCATTTAGGTACCACATATTGCGAGACAGTGGAGTTAGTGCAGAAGAACCCCTGATCACTCATGCCCGACATCGTTGCCACTTGGAGAATGCATTAAAATTTCTTGAAGCTTTCCTCAACACACGTACGTCCTCTTGCTGTTGTCTTAGTAGATGCTGATACCATCCTCTCGACAGCTCCCGAAGAAGTAGTTTTTGCAGCTGAAGAGCTCCGCTATGCCGCTCAGGCGATCGGGAAGATTTCCGGCCTCATCGACGTGGAAGACATTCTTGACGCTGTTTTTCGTGACTTCTGCATCGGGAAGTGATCATCTCATGCGACATGTTCCCGAGCGACATGCTGCTGACGTGCCGTCTTGATACCCGTTCGTTGTTGTCCGGTCGGTCATCGACGGAAAGAACGCCAGCGTTGCAGCGGGCCTTACTGTCTCGTTGTCCATCATACCTACTGCTTAATGACCTTGATTTTCCTCTTGTGAATTGCGGACGGAGAATGGCCGCCCATCTTAACTGTCAAGGTGACGAGAGTAGCGGGGGGTTTCCTTGCGCACTGGAATCGTCTGAATACATCGGTTGTATAACCGCTCTTTTCTAACAGAGAAGAAGAATCACCTTTTGGAGATCATGAATAGTCCAGTACGATATACATCAGAGAGTCCCCTTCTCCTGGTTGAGGCAGACGGTACACTAGGCTCTGGAGATTGATGATAATGCAATTAGACCTCCGCACTATATTGCGGCACTTTCCTGTCGAATGCGTCAAGGTGTGAATTGGTGTCACCGCGCAATTCCCTGGTTACTTCGAAGAAACCAGCTCAGCGTGCGACATCACCGGGACTGCGGGCCGACGATCCTCCTGGCAAGAATGCCGCTACATAAGGTTGGCCCAACGAAGATTCGACCCCATCACGTGATTATCACGTGAGCTTGCGAGGTCCCTCGCTGCTTTCCCCTCCCTCTGCATTGAGGAAAAAACTTGGATAGGCGGCATGTATGGTACCACAGAGCCTATAGCTCAATTGTATACGAGCCGATACCCCGAAATCGCAGTGGAGGGGCGGGACACGGACAGTGTGACAGGCGTGACGGGAGGTGTCGAATCTTCGTTGGGCCAACCTTAGGATTTGGGGATAGGCAGCGCCCACTAGCCGATGTTCTGCTTACATAACGGTAGCGCTCAGAGATGTTGTCCGATCGAGTTATCTAAACAAACGACTCTCATCTAAGCGAGCTCAACTCGATCGAAAACGTATCTAGATTGTACTCCGACATGGACTGGAGTGGTATATGGAGGTTTGGAGTGAATAACCGTGTTCAGACAAGGGACAAAGGTGCGGTTTGAGTCTCGGGATGACCAAAACCCTTTTGGCACGGCGCAGGTTTGGGTGAACCATTGACATGTCTTGCATAATGTTTTGCTGCATAGGATGATCGCACTGGTCGGGAGAGGATGGAGGCAACAGGGCACTATTGGCTGGGTCTGCCAGAGGTGTAGGAGGGATGTTTTCTATGTTGCGATGCTTCTGGCTATTTATAGTGTTTATACTCGTGCTTGAAAGAGCTTTCTGCTCACATGAACGGCGAGCCATGGCGTATAGTGGAAGTGAGCTGGTAGGCTGGTACTATCATTTTGGGTAGTCATCGCAGCTCCTGTCCACTCAACGCCGAGCGCTTCGACATTGTCACGAACCGCCCTCACGGCGCTATGTTTCCTTTTCGATTCGGACCACTGCCTCGTACGTTTCCTTATTGTTCACTACTCGCTACGGTTTCCCTTTGTCCACACACGGACAATAGCTCCCTTTGTTCCCACGTCTGCTATTGTCCTACACCCCTTGTACTCCGTACCCATGGCGACGCTATTGTTCTCTAGCGCCCATTGTTCGTTCCCTGTATATAGCTGGATCCCTTGCTACCTGGAGACTCTAGTTTCGACCTCTTGTCTCCAGGTAAGCCATCGTGTATTTCGCTCTGTAGATACCTCGCTCAATACACAACTTGTCTCCAGTCCTGCCTGTTGAGCTCCGCTCCAGTCTCACTGCGATCAGAGCTCGTCGGCGCTCCTGCCTGCCTCGCTCGTCTCCACTTACTCGCTCGACAGTCAGTCGTAACAACGCGCGCACGCTGATTTTTTCAGGTACACGCCAACGCCTGGCGACAGCTTGAAGGGCGCAGGCGTCACACCCATCCTCGGGCGCGGAGACGTCAGGATTGAATACGATTACGACGGGCGCAA